CATCCATCCATCCATCCATCCATCCATCCATCTCTATCTTCCTGTCTATGTGTCTATATATGTATGTATCTATCTCCATGTGTCCATGTATCTCTGTGTCAGTGCTTTAAGATGAGCCCTGAACCTCAAAACACATCGCCAGCACCATCTGTGTGGGACAGGAGCCATCAGCACACCAGCTGCCTTCTCCCAGGCCGGGCTGAGCGCGGGCATCTTGTTGGCGTCTGTCCTTAAAGCCAGACTCTCTTCGCCTTCGCCGACCCAGCCGTTCACACTCGGTCTGAGCAGGCACTCGGCCTCCTAAATCGGGCTTGTTCATCATGTACTTGACCGCCACGGGGAGCGAGGGGGAGCTATTGGCCAGAACTGGCCGACACAGTAGTTGGCATTATTTTCCGCTCGGTAGAACTCTACTTGGGAAATAGAAACCAAAGGGCACATCTTTGCGCATCTCACGCGTGACGACACGGTCAGGGAGTGGCCAGGGCCCGGTGGGGCTTGCAGGAGGGTGAGGGGCCGCAGGAGTGGGGAGGACGGAGCTGGGGCGGAGCCCAAGGAGAGCACTGGCTCCCCGCTCAGGCGTGCGGCGCCCAGACGCAGTCTCGCTGTCTTGTCAGGCACCGTGAGGGCCCTTTCCTGCTCTTCTTCTCCTTCCTCCACGTGCACACACCTCTGCCCACCTCGGACGAGTTCATCGGCACCAGCCAGCATGGGTTATACGGCGACAACGTGCAGGAGATGGACTTCATGGTCGGTGAGTGGCCACACCGGGCCGCTGGGTCCCAACCTACGATGCCCGCGCGTCCCCCTCACCCCACGTCGGTCTGGCTATTTCAGGCAAGATTCTCGGTGCCCTCGACGACCTGGGTCTGACCCAAAACACCCTCGTCTACTTCACGTCGGACCACGGAGGCCATCTGGAGGCCCGGCGCGGGCGCCTGCAGCTGGGCGGCTGGAACGGGATCTACCGAGGTGCCGGGTCACGTCCGGCTTGGGGCGCCACTGCGGGGGGCGGGTGGGAGCCAGGACGGGAAGGCGGGGCACACCGGAGCCATAAATCTTGGCAAACAAAAATCCTCTGGGCAGCTGAGAAACGCACGGGGTGTGGGTGTGCCTGTCTCGCACGGCCGTCCACAGCCGCCGGACAAATTCCACCATATTTGCATTTCTCTGTTTTTTCCATGATTTATTCATCGACGCACCTGAAAAGTGGGGTGGGGGCGAGAGGACTCGCTAGAGACAGCGGGGAGCAGAACAGGTGGATCTACTGAGACGCACCGCTGAGGGGGCGGCGGGAGACAGGGACCCTGTATCGGGTGCGCCCCCCGGAAAGGGCCGTATTTGCGCAATGCGAAGCCGGTTCGCACCCAGACGCGGTGCGACCGGCTCCTTCCGCCCGCCCGGCAGGTGGGAAAGGAATGGGCGGCTGGGAAGGCGGCATCCGCGTCCCCGGGATTGTCCGGTGGCCTGGGAAGGTGGCGGCTGGCAAGGTCATCGACGAGCCCACGAGCCTGATGGACATTCTGCCCACGCTGGCTGCGGTGTCGGGAGCCCGGGTGCCCCAGGACAGGTGACGCCTCGGGGGTGCGCACGGGGCTTCCGCCCCGGGGGTTCTGGACACGCAGACGGGACGCGGGCGCGGACGGGTCGAGGGTGGCCTGCAGCTCCCTGCCCTGCTGGTCGTCCCGTGGCTGTCGGAGGACGGTGCTCCCGTCGGGCGTTTGGGGTATGTCGGGGAGTCCAGCTGGGGGTGTCTGCGCGCCTGGCGCGTGTGACCCCCGTTAAAGCCACACTGTGCAGACGAGTCCGCAGTGCATTTCGGGATCCTGTCGTGCGGCTGCTCCGAGGCGCCCCAAGTCCCCCTGGGTGATGTGTCTGTGCCTCTGATCTTTCCATTACCCGGCTCGGGTTTTGCACGAGCCCCCTCAGGGACCTGGAGGGAGCTTGCATTAAGCTGCTGGTCAGTTTGGGGCGAGCGGGCGTCCTAACCATGTAGGCTCCTGAGCCAGTGGTGTGTCTTTCCAGTTTCTTATACAGCTATAGCAGCCTGCCATCATTTTTAACAGCTGCATAGTATTCCACACGGCAGCTTTATTCCTTTTAACAGCTGTGTAGTATTCCACACGGCGCTCACACGCCTGCAGCAGCCTTTTCATCATTTTAACATCTGCGTAGTGTTCCACCACATCACACCCCCGTGGCAGCGTTTATTCCTTTTAACAGCTGTGTAGTATTCCACCACACTCATCCACCCGCACCAGCCTTTTTTCCTTTTAACAGCTGTATACTGTTCCATCATGTGCTCATACGTCTATAGCACCCTTGTCGTCGCTTTTAACAGCTGTGTAGTATTCTACAGTTTACTCACACGTCTGTAGCAGCCTTTTCATCATTTTAACAGCTGCATAGTATTCCACCATGCACACACCGTGGCAGCTTTTATTCCTTTTAACAGCTGTGTAGTATTCCACCGGGCACTCACACATCTATAGCAGCCTTTTCGTCATTTTAACTGCCATGTAGTATCCCACACAGCAGCTTTTATTCCTTTTAACAGCTGCGTAGTATTCCACGACACACTCACGCATCCATAGCAGCTTTTCATCATTTTTTATAAAGATTTTTATTCATGTACACGGGGTGGGGCTTCAGGCCAGAGGTGCAGGGGCTGAAGCGGCTTTAGCTTCAACCCAGTGCGCCACCAGGGAGGGCCAGCCTTTTGTCCTTTTTGACGGCCGTGTAGTATTCCACCCCGTGGCTTGCGGCACGCAGGCATCCTAGAGAAGGTACCCCCACGTCCCTCAGCTTCTCCCGGCTTGCTCAGCGGACTGCTCTCTGCCCCGGGGGCTGGCTGGACACACGGACCGTCCTTCAGACAGCCGGGGGCCGGCTCTGGTGACCGCGTCTCCTTGGCGATTCTCTGCAGGGTGATTGACGGCCGGAACCTCATGCCGCTGCTGCAGGGCCACACCCAGCGCTCGGAGCACGAGTTCCTGTTCCACTACTGTGGGTCCTATCTGCACGCCGCCCGCTGGCACCCCCGGGACAGTGAGTGTGCCCCCTGCTCCCCGTGGATGCCCCGGTGGATCACGCCCCCTGGAAGGGAGGACGGAGGAAATCACCTTAGCTCAAGTCGTCCTGCTTCCGAGGGCTGTTTAGGGTTCAGCTGTGTGTGGTTATGAATTAGCGTCTGTGTCTCCTGTGTTCTGCTCATACCAGAAGCAAAACACCGGGTCGTTTCTCCTTATACCGGAGAGGCTGCTTCTGTTTTATGTCATTCACGTGTTTTCTTCATGCAGCGCAGGTGGGCGAAACCGCTGTATTGGTCTTTGGTCATCTGACTTACTTCACTCAGCATTAGGAGCTATAGCAGCCTGTCATCCTTCTTAACAGCTGCAGAGTATTCCACCACCACGCACACATCTACAGCAGCCTCTCGTCATTTTAACAGCTGCTCATATGCCTACAATGGCCTCTTGTCATTTTTAGTAGCTGCGTAATATTCCACGGCGCACCTATATGTCCCTAGCGGCCTCTCGTCATTTTTAACTGCGGTGTAGTATTCCACCACGTGCATACACACCTACGGTGACCTTTCGTCATTTTTGACAGCTGCATAGTATTTCAACGTGTACTTAGACCTCTATAGTGGCCTTTTGCCATTTTAAGAGTGGTGCAGTATTCCATCATGTGCTTATAGCTCCATAGCAGCCTCTCATCCTTTTTCACAGCTGTGTTGTTTTCCACCACACGCATATACATCTACGGTGGTCTTTCGTCTTTTTTGACAGCTGCGTAGTATTTCAACATGCACGTGCACCTCCATAGCAGCCTCGCGTCATTTTTAACCGCTGCGTTGTATTCCACCACATGCACACACATTTATGGCGGCCTTTCCTCATTTTGACAGCTGCATAGTATTTCAGCATACACACACACACCTCCATAGCAGCCTCTCGTCATTTTAACTGCTGTGTAGTATTCCACAATGCACACACACCTCCATATAGCTCCATAGCAGCCTCTCGTCATTTTTAACTGCTGTGTTGTATTCCACCACATGCATACACATCTACGGTGGTCTTTCATTTTTGAAAGCTGCATAGTATTTCAACATGCACATGCACCTCCATAGCAGCCTCACGTCATTTTTTTAAAAGATTTATTTATTTATTCGTAACCTCACGTCATTTTAACTGCTGCATTGTATTCCACCACACGCACATACATTTACGGCGGCCTTTCGTCATTTTGACAGCTGCATAGTATTTCAACATGCTCACACGCCTCCATAGAAGCCTCTCATCATTTTAACTGCTGTGTAGTATTCCACAATGCACACACACCTCCATATAGCTCCATAGCAGCCTCTCATCATTTTTAACTGCTGTGTTGTATTCCACCACATGCACACACATTTACGGTGGCCTTTCGTCATTTTTGACAGCTGCA